CATGGATATAGCCCCAGCCAATGGTTTCTAGGTCAGGATCCCAAACATGCAGCCATGTTAGATGATGTTGATGAGCAACGCAATTTTCCTGTCCAGTCACAAGTCCTTGCCGAACCTGAGTTTAAATCCAAAGTGCTCCTGAGAGAAGCCGCAGCAAAAGCTTTTCTTGAAGAACACTCCAAAGACACTTGGAGGAGAGCGCTTGCAGGACGAAACCGTCCAATCCGTGGGCCATACCAACAAGGTCAATTGGTTTACTTCTTTCGCAAGCGAGCCCGTGGTTTGCTATCGACTCGTCATGGGGTCTGGTACGGGCCAGGAAAAGTCATAGGCACCGAAAGCTCTTCCAATAATGGGGTAGTTCCAAGGGTAGTCTGGGTAGCCTTTAATGGGTTCATTTATAAATGTTCACCTGAAGGACTTAGACCCCTAACCGAAGATGAACACCAGTTCAGGGAACTTGCCAAGAGCCTAGCACAAGGTCGTCTTGACCCTGCCATCGAAAATGCTGAGCAAAGCCTTTCAAGCCGATGTCCCCAATACCAAGACTTGACCAATGATATCCCTCTTGAAGATGATGAAGAATTGAGTCAAGATATGGAGGATTATCCAGATGATGGGGATAGTCCGGATGACAATGATGATGATGGTAATAGTGGTCCCCGTAAAAGACTTAATAGCTTGGATGATGATAGTGGTCCCCGTAGGGTAAGACTTCGTATCACCAGGTCATCCGACTATTGGCAAAAACGTGCTAGGGGCATGTCACCACTGGGTTCACTGCAAGAGGGTCCCATTCCTCATAGGGTTACTTTTGATGAAACAAATCCCGATGAACCCCCAAGTAAGCGTAGAGCAGTGTTGGAAGATATCCCTGAAGAAGAAATGGAAGAGGTTCCTGAGCCACAGGATGATGGGTATTCTCCTTCACTAGCGCCTGATGACGCAATGCCCGAAGCTCCCATGGAGCCAGACATGCCAGAGTTGCCGCCTGCAGCCCCAGATGACGTGTCCAATTCACATGACGAAGTCATGGATGACCAGCCGCCAGAGCACTCAGTTTCCAGCGTGCCGGAACCTAGCACTAGTGTTGAGCAACAATTAGAAGAAGCCATTCATCAACCTGTCCCTGAAGATGATGAACTCATGGTTGATGTAGGGTCTGAAAAGTGCCGCCGTTCCGAAAGCGTGTTGGAAGTTTCGCTGAACGTATGTCGAGACGACATTTCCGGCGATCATTTGTGTCTGTGGTATGTGCTTGATGAGTGTCTCCAAGTTTCCACTCCAAAGGCCAAGCTCCGAAGGGTTGAAGTCAGCTACAGAAAGTTGTCACCTTCTGATAAGGAGTTGTTCAAAAAGGCAATGCAAAAAGAGTGGCAATCTTGGGTTGATAACAAAGTAACTTCTCTTTGCAAAAACCGGGGTATTTCACCAGAAAGGGTTATACGTGCAAGATGGGTACTCACATGGAAGAAAAGTTCCGACCCAGATGACAGGTCCAAAGTTCCAAAGGCACGATTAGTCCTAATCGGTTGGGAAGACCCTGAACTAGGTAAAATTGCCACTGATAGTCCAACACTTCGAAAAGAGAGCAAGCATTTAGTCCTTTCTATTTGTTCTGCCAAAAAGTGGAAGGTGTTTGGGGCTGATATCAAAACCGCATTTTTATCTGGGGATAACAGTGCAAGAGAAATATACTTCAAGCCACCACCTGAACTCAAAGAATGGTTGCAGCTGTCCCAGGATGATTTGTTTCGTCTTGAGAAAGCCGCTTACGGCTTGGCTGAAGCCCCAAGGGCATGGTTTTTGAGACTCTCCCGAGAGATGCGTGAGGCCGGACTGCAGCAGAGTCAAATAGATCCCTGTCTGTTTACTCTCCGTGTCAAAGGTCAATTGGTTGGAGTGTGTGGTATACATGTAGATGACCTCCTGGGTGGAGGAACACCAGCCATGGAAGCAATCCTCACCAAACTCAGAGCCAAACTTCCTTTTGGGGATTACCGAACCTTTACCATTCGCTACACAGGCATAGAAATACGCCAATGTCCAAAAACCTATGAAATAGAGATAGGCCAAGAGACATACATCGATGCTTTGGAATGTGTGCAGACCAAGCCTCTAGGTGTCGCAAGCACGCCGCTTCCGGACAAATCCCTTTTGAGGACATGTGCTGGCCAACTTGCATGGGTCTCCAATGCAACGCGCCCAGATCAAGCCTTTTTATCTTCATACCTGCAGGGAGTTCAAGATAAGGGGTTAGTATCTCATGTAGCACTCTATAATAAGGGTATCCGTGAAATGAAAGAGAAAAAGGTGTGTCTTCGCTTCCCCAGCAGTGTTCCAATAGATGATTGGAGACTGGTTTGCATAACCGATGCCGGATGGGCCACCCGAGACAATGGAGATAGCCAAGGAGGTTATCTACTTTTGATAGCTGAATCGAAGATGCTCAAACGTGAGCAGGCCAAATGCTGGCTCGTCGATTGGTCGTCCAAAAAGTTGAAGAGAGCTGTTCGCTCATCAGTTGCTGCAGAAACGTTATCTGGTCAGAATGGTTTGGATGCAGTTGAACTTTTCCAAGCACTCATGGAAGAAACACTGAGAAATGTCACTCCCCGACAATTCCGTGAGATGACCCCCAAACATGAAGCAGGTTTGGTGATAGATTCAAAAGGTTTTTATGATGCCATCACCAGAAGCTGTTGTTCACAGGCCGTTTCTGTAGAACGAAGGTTGCAGATAGACTATGCCATTGCAAAAGAAACCATGCAGAAACAAAACATCATCCCGTTCTGGGTAAACAACTTGCGTATGGCCGCTGATTGTTTGACAAAACTCAAAGGAGAAACCAAGCTTCTTTATGAGATTCTTGAGCGAGGGGTTTACCAAATAAAAGTATGTTCCGTTTCTGGTCGCCGAGAGAAAGCAGGCGAGGGTTCCTAAGTTTTCCACAATCCCTTTTTGCCAGATCAGCCGCTCAGCCGAGCATGTGGGGTTTCAGTGAATCTGTGGATAACCGCCACTAATAAGCCTGATGTGAAATAATGTATAGTGTATAGATAAGTTGGGGATAGTGGGGATAATTAAGCATAGCCAGCCAAAACTGCAAGCCGTTGTGAAGCATGATGCAAGTTGGAAAACCTGTTTGCGTCAGCCTTTTTGCCTTGTCAAGCAGTCTCAGTGACGTGACTCCCAATCCATAGGGTAGCAATATGGAGGCCACCAAGCACCAGTGTGTGACAGCAATGTCAGACTCAGTGCAAGGACCACTGAGTGAACCTGAGATGCATATGGCCGGTGGTTTGCTCGCCCGTGCCATTACCTATGGACAGTCTCAAAGGTTGTCCAAGGTGATTTTCAATTCGATTGGTGGGAAGCCGCTCGCAGTCAATGCCTATTACTTCCTGAAGCACACTGGAGAAGAGGTCGGCACCATGGCCGATAGTTCAAAGCGCCAGCGTGATTTCGATTTGGAAAGTTGGGATAATGTGACGGAGTCAGGTGTGAATTCCCCGGCTGCTTCGAGCCGTGCTGGATATCCTGATATCTCCTACCAAGGAATGATGCCACATGTTGAGCCGCCATTTCCAGGGTCGGGGAAAGGATTTACCAATGATGAAGATGTGACGATCCCCATGCCGAATGATGTGGCGAATGTGGATGAATGGTCGCAGACCGTGCTCAAGCTCCCCAAGGTCGCTGATCTCAAGATCACCTATGGCCAGTTTCTTGAGCGTGCAAGGAATGATCCTGATCTCTCCAAGTATGCCAACTACATCATCGAGACGTTTGGCCCCCATGTAAAGAACAAAAAGACCACCAGCTATACCCAGGGTGTGGATTTTGCCCATTTCCTGTGCCGTGTCAAATATGTTCAGCAAAGCCATGGAGGTGGATTCAAGCGCGAATTGCGCAAGTGAGATCACAGAGATCTATGTGCATGGATTGGTCGCAGCTGCAATGAGCCTGCGCAGTACAATATGGAATAGATAGTTTATCTCCTTGGGCATATCCTCTTGGATAGAGGGCGTGTGAAAGTGGGTGATTCATACATGTCTCACATTTCTTACCTGCCAGGTCCATAACCACCACTTGTGGATGTGTATCCGCGATCCTTTGCCCAAGGGCCCTTGACGCCAATTCGAGGCGTGTCGGATGGAAAAAGCAATGGATGCGTGAGCCTTGCGGCTAACCGGATTTGTGCTGTGCTGTTGATCCCATTGGATAGATCCCTTGTGCTACCAGCTTCGCATATATATACAGTATGTATTTGTACATTTATTTAATTTACACTATATTTCACAATGAAAATCACATTTAGAATCATTTAGATACATACGTATATTATATTATATTATATTATATATATGTATATAAACATGTTCATACATAATTTTTAACTATTGTATAATTACATACAAATGTACATATCTTCTTGTTCCTAGTTTTATGTACACACATATATATATACATATATATATATATATCACATGTATATCTATATACAATATATATATATATACATACATGTACTTATGTTTAGACAACTTAAATTAACTTGTCGGGGAATGTTCCATTGCACTTTCTCAAACAATTGGCCAAAGCTTGCAACGCTCGCTGATGATGGCGCAAGAACCAAAGAGCACAAGGCGCAAAGAACAACAGGCGCCAAAAAACACCAGTTGCCCAAGGGCGGCGCGACCTTGTTACATATGTAAGACTGGGCGACATCAACAAATCATTTACCAACTGGGATGCACATCCAAGTGGGGAACATAGTTTTCACCCCCCTGGGTTATTCATTTTTTTATCGTGTCAAATTGATTCAAATTGGTTATATTAATCCCATATTAGGATGTTCAAATCATGTCAAATGAGGTTGAACCCTCATTTTTCATTGTTAAAAACCAAATTCAATCGTTAGAATCTCATGTATTTTTCCTGGTTTTCGGGTGAGTTTCTCATGGTAAAGCGCGCCCCGTTTTTTAAAAAACGCCGAGGCTCCTACGTGCGCCGCTGGCTGCCCTTCTTGTCGCAGTGTCCCACGGAGTACATCCATCGGCCCTGGGAGCTGCCAATGGGACGAAGGCATGGCCTGTCGCCCGGCAGACCCGGCAGGATGGGGGCCATGGGGATTACTTCACAGTGGCCGAAACGACCAGTTTTATAAATGGTGAAATCACTGGTTATTTCGAAGTAGACATTCCAGAAATGGGATTGACATAACTTATGACTGGTATTGTAAATCTGCTTGGTGGTTTGGAACATTCTTTATGACTTTCCATATATTGGGAATAATCATCCCGACTGACTTTCATATGTTTCAGAGGGGTAGGTATACCACCAACCAGAAATGGTGAAATCACTGGTTATTTCGGAGTATACATTCCAGAAATGGGATAAATACTAACTAGTATTTCGGGCCATAACTGTAATGGGTGAGTTTTTTTAAGTGGCTTGACATGGCTTGACGATGCGTCAACTCGAACATCTCTGGATTTGCTGATCTGGCTGATTTTCCCAATGGGAAGTCCACTTTTTGTGAAGAAACGATGCAGGGAGGTAAAAGTAATAGGCCATGGGATTCCATGGGATTACCTCATCGGTGAGTTTTTCTCGGTGGATTAGCCAACTAACCTAGCCATTCGCCAGCTGAAGAAACTCCATGGTTATCTAAGTAGTGACCAGGAAATGCTGGTTGGTGGTTTGGGACATGGCTTTTATTTTCCATAATATATGGGATGTCATCTTTCCCATTGACTAATATTTTTCAAGATGGTTATTGCACCACCAAGCAGAAATGTTATCACTAGGAATCCTCAGATCATGATGACCTCCATGATGCGATTAGTCATATGTGCCATTGTCACACATGATCAAAGTTTGAGTGAATTTCCGAATGGATGGGATGGACATCAATCCTTCAGGATTTCCATGGGGAAAAAAGTGCTGAGTAAGTTCTGGAAATCAATCACGGCTGGACAGCTGATGGACACATCATCATTTAGTTCGGTGATTTTCCAATTAGTGAGGGATTTCCGGGCCATGTTTGATGACACCAGATGGCAACCACCATTAAAATCATGTTGAAGGATGATCTTATCACTGGTTGGTGGTGACTGGAACCATGGAATTTTTATGACTTTCCGTTCAGTTGGAAATGTCATCATCCCAACTGACTTTAACTCCATCGTTTTTCAGAGGGGTAGGTTGAAACCACCAACCAGATTTATTATTGACCATCATTAACCATATAATAACCATATAATAACCATATATATTAACCATATATTAACAGTATATTACCACCCAATGGTAGGTGGCTCAACCACCTGGCCCAGATCTCTCGTCGGTCATGATGATCTCTGAAAAGTCCCCATACCCGGTAAACTGTTACAGAAAACTGATGGGAAAGATCCACCATGCTATGGAAAATGATGGAAAATCGCCACTATTTCGACTGGGCCATTTTCAAGTTCGCAAACTGTTGACATAACCAGAGGGTATCTTTTCAGCCACGGGTTTCTGAGGACTCCTCCCATCCTTTTAGACCTGGACGCGGCGCGGAAACAGCACTGCCGACACGTCTTGCAGCTGCGCAAGCGGCATCCGGAACCTTGGCCGCCGTCTGGTGAAAAATGGAGGAATTCACTGCAGTTATGGCCCGAAATAGCAGTTATTTTTGTAATTACTAATCCCATTTATGGAATGTATCATCCTATTTATAAGCAGTTATAATCATTGAGAATTGGCAAATGGCGATAACTGTAGAAAGCATGTGGAGATGATGGGTCTAGAATGGGGATATAAGTGATGTAAGTTAGATGTAAGTGATATAAGCAAAACATGAAGTCGCTACCATTTGGTGTCATCATCATGGCTGGGAAATTCTCAACACTAATCGCGTTTTACTGGAAAAAAAATATGGAACTAAATGCTGATTTTTCCATTTCAATGTTTGTTTACCAGAAGGTATTCTGGAACTTTCCCTGAATATAGGGAAGCATGTTTCTTTTATCATCCAGATGGTTTGGGACAGGATGTCCGGTAAGAATCTGGGAAACAAATAAAGAATCCTGGGAATAAGAACAGCCTTATCCTCTGGTGAACTTTTACATAACTATGGAAAAAAACACAATTTTCTAGCTGGGTAAATCAACTATTTAAATGAGCCATGTTCAAGTTCGCAAAGTGTAACAGTCATTACCAGGCCGGGTATGTTTGGAGAGCAACAATGGGATCATCATGGATCATCAATGGTTGCCATTGGTTGCCATGGGATTGCTATGGATCAAACCGGGTATAAGTACCCGGCCTGGTAAATGGTGGTTTAATGGTGGTTTAATGGGACAAAACACCAACAAAAATGGTGATTTTAATGGGATCTACCCTCTGGTAAACTAACAGTTTGCGAACTTGGAAATGGCCCAGTCGAAATAGTTGATTTACCTATTTTTTTAATGGAGATGTTCCATAGTTATGTAAACGTTTACCAGAGGGTAAATGAAATTTCAAGAAGCAGAATTTTTATGATGTGATTTTCACGTCGTTGCATAGAAAGCCGAACTGGAACTTTGGATATGAATCAGTACTTCTGGTTGGTGGTTTGGAACATTTTTTATTTTTTCATATATCGGGAGTATTAATCCCAACTGACTTTCATATTTTTCAGAGGGGTAGGCTCAACCACCAACCAGACTTGGTATCTCATGGAGGTAGCAGATGTTCAGCATGTTCAGGGTGTTCAGCGCATTTTACAACCTCTAATGGCTTAGCAGGGTGGGCTTCCAACAGGTTGCCATCTGGTTTTTCGATGGCCCATTTAGATCCATAGTTCGATGATGGTTTGCATATTTATCATTCAACTTACCACAAAAAATCACCATTTTCTAGCTGGGTAAATCAACTATTTCTGTGGACCATTTTCAAGTTCGCAAAGTGTAACAAATGACCAGGGAGTCCATCCAAAGATTATGGGACTTTCCACAGATATATCTTGTTGTGATGTTGCAATGGAACACAGGGCCAAATGGGCCACCTCTATCTTGGGATGGGTCGAAACTATGTCAAAACTATGATTAATGATTACTGTATTGCTGTTACCATATTTACCCTCTGGTAAAGTAACATAACTATGGAACAATCACAATTTTTCATGGGAAAATTCACTATAAATGGTGATTTTCCATAGTTATGTTAAATTACCAGAGGGTAAGGGAATAAACATCCACCAACCAGCGAGTTTAGGGTACAATCCGGGTATCAGGGTTTTGACATGTTTTGACCCACAACCAGATGCTCATACCTGGATAGGCTGAGATGATCTTTTTGAAGTGAGTAAGTGCTGAGTATCCCAATCTTCCCATACCGAAGATGGCCAGACATTGAGTCGTTTCTTTTCCATTAAAATCATGGTTAAGCCCATGAACTAGTTCGATATATCTACCATAAGTCCTATAGCTACTAGACTTCCAAGCCGGCTTGGCTATCATAAATCAGCACCAAATCATGGTTAAATCCCTTTTTTTCTCCGAAAAAACCTGACTAACCCCCCCGATTTTCCCTGGTGAAACCGCTATGGCCATCTTCAAAGGTCACCCCGCAACGGGATCGTCACCGGCCGCATCCCAAGGAGATGATCGCGCGCAACGGCCATGAGTGGCTCCGCTTACCGGGCCGCAAGGGGCTGTTGGCCAAAGTGGTGACGCGCCAGGAGTTCCGCGCAGACACGGAGGACGGCGAGATGGGATGGGATGTACACAACTTGGTGAATTCTGTGTTTTTTTTATTGGGGATATAACATAACATATATCCGATATATCCCCATAATTTCTATTAAAATTGGATATTTCATTATAACCGATTATGTTAAAAACAATACAAATCCATTTCACTATGGACGATTTTAACCGGAAACCATGGTTTTTACCATTCAATGTGGGGTTTTCCTGTAAATTTTCCCCTAAAACAATCCATTGACTATACCAAAGTGCGATCTCCAAAGGGCCATTGTTGACCCATCCGGTGGCGCCCCATGGCAGGACTTCATCTTCTACCAAAGCCGGCCAGGCCGTTTCGGTCGCAAGGCCGCTCCCGCCGCGGCGTCAGGAAGAGGCGGCAGGCTTCCGGATGCGAACCAGGCGATTCTGGCGGAAGACGCTCGGAGTTGAATTGAATGGGTTGAATCAGTACATAGCTGCAGTTTTTAATGGACAAAAATGGATGATTTGGGGGTACCTCCATGTATGGAAACCTCTATATAGTTTGATTAGACTTGAATTGGCACATTTCCCATTCAACAAAGGGGTTCACCAATGACTGGCGGGTGCCACAAGATCGGATCCGGCTGAATCAGAACGACCTAGAACGACCAATGTTGGTGAATGTAGAAGGAATTACTGGCTCAAATGACTTCAAGTCACCAAAATTTTCAGGTTGCTGAATTATAGTTCATCTATGCTGGCAGTCTGGGACATTTCAAGGGGAAGATCACTCGAGAAATCTGGGACATTTCAAGTGAAGAAGTTTCCAGTCAGATGTTTTTCCCTATGACAATGGATTGGTTTAAGGGGAAATTTACAGGAAAACCTCATATTTAATGGGAAAATCTATGGTTTCCTGTAGATTTTCCCGTGAAAACCAATCCATTGACTATGACAATCACCTCTGGAGCTGTGATCAGGAGGTGTTGCGTCAGGGCGAGTTGCTCTGATGGGCGAATTGCAGCCCGCAATGCTGTGCTGCCCCCAGGGCCCCAAGCGAGCTGCAGCTCGTCGTAGGATGTTTCAGGTGAGGCGAGCAATCAAAACATGCTGGTTCAAGTATGAAATAAACGGAACTTCAAGCATCAATCATGACTCCCATGGAACATGGGAGTATTCATTGGAAGAAAACGGGGGTGTATTTTATGGCTCAGTAGGAACCATGCCATTTGCTTGGCAATTCTTTGTAGCGTATAATTTGACCAGAACGAGACCGGAAGATAATGTTATATGATAGGTCGGCTACAGCAACTGGAAGTTTTTTTTGACCAACTAAGATTGTGGTGTGATCAACACATATATATATATACCTGGTTATTTAACATAGCCATGGAACATCCCGATTTTTAATAACGGTAAACCATCCATTTTCCATGGCTATGTTATTATTGTAAAACCATGAATCATCTTGGCGTTTTGACGGAGATGTTCATATAGAAAAAAATCTAGTGTTCCACACAGAACCCAGGAGGATCATTCCCAAAAATGTGTACTCATTAATGCATAGTTGGTGCCTTTTAGGGAGCATATCACAATTATAATACATTAATGCTATATTTTTTTATATATATATATAATATAATATAATATAATATAATATATAATATAATATATAATATAATATAATATAATATAATATAATATAATATATATAATATAATATATAATATAATATAATATAATATATAATATAATATATAATATAATAGAATATATAATATAATATATATATAATATAATATAATATATAATATAATATAATATATAATATAATATATATAATATTATTTAATATATAATATAATATATAATATAATATAATATATAATATATAATATAATATAATATAATATAATATATAATACAATATAATATATAATATATAATATATAATATAGTATTTAATTTAATATAATTTAATATAATACAATATATAATATATAATATAATATTTAATAGTTAATATTTAATATCATATAATATACAGTAATTTAATATTTAATATAATATAATATAATATAATATTTAATATAATATAATATTTAATATAATATAATATAATATTTAATATAATATAATATAATATAATATAATATATATCCTGAATACATTAAATCACTATTTTGCAGGAAGCAAACACAAACTATCTTTTCAGCTCGCCGGCGCATCCCAAGGACTTCCGTGTCGTCCGTGTCGTTGTTTGGCCGTGTGCCACAACCACGACTGGACCACTTGGGGATGGGTCAAAAGCTTTAAGAACCAACTGAAAAAGTGGGTGTTGACCATTGAAAAAAAAAGGTAGTTTTTCACCATCCGGAAACAGGTTGACATGGGGATGGGTTAAAGCATGTAAAACCAGAGTGGGATGAAGATTCATATGAGCTTGGTGTGAACAGAAGGGTTACAGATCAGCTTTTGATCCACCCATTTGAATCCATTTGAACACAGTGGACAGAGTACTGTTTTGCAGTGCAACGCTTTTTCGTAGCTGCTGAATGGACATTCAAATTTTCGAAGAACATCCCAACAGTTTTCCACGCCAGTCTCGGTGAAGAAAAATCCAGTTCTTCGCCAGTCTCGGTGTGCAGAGTTTCACCAGCTTGCTGACCATCCACCAGCTGGGTGACTGTCTGAAAATGAGGGATTCAACCCCCAGTTGTAACTATCAAATAAGGGAAAATGATGATGAGCCGTCATTTTTTTGGGGTACTGTACCATATCTTCAGACAAACCAAATTGATGTTGCTACCTTGGATGGGAAAGCTTGTTTACAAGTGTTGAGTTGTTTTTTATCAAACTCATCTGAGTGCGAAACTATCAAAACCTTGAGCATGAAACTAGAAGCAACAGACGTTAGATTAGGGCCCAGGTGAATTGAGCGGTGCATTGGTACTCACACATAGTAAGAAAGGACCAAGCGTGTCAAGAGACATGTCAGCTAATAAATCATGGGTACAAGGTGGCCCCAGCTATTTTGTCTGGTTCATGATAGATATATGTACCGGACCATGAACCATAGTGTTCATTGACCACTTTCTCCAGTTCAACATCACGAAGTACAGTGGTCAATGGTCATTTCAGGAACCGATTTATTGGAGGTACCTACCATATATAAGGCCTATGTTTTAGGCCTATTTTTTACCCAGAAAATATATGGCCAACAATATGGTACTAACGTACCTCCATCAATTGGATCCTGAGTCATTTGGCACAGTGGTGTCACAAAGACGTCCAAAATTCATCATGGGACCTTTGGATGTTAGCCTTGAATATCCACTGTCAAAAAGCAGGGTGATTACGCAAATTTTAATAGTGGTTAATGGTGATTAATGGTGGTTAATGGTGGTTAATAATGGTTAATGAGATATATACTAAATTTTGATGTCATCTTAGTTCATATACAGATGGCAACGGCGATAAATCATGTTGAATGATGATCTTATCACTGCTTGGTGGTGACTGCAACATTTGGATTATTTTTCCATTTCATATATTGGGAATGGAAAATCATCCCAACTGACTTTAACTCCATGATTTTTCAGAGGGGTAGGGCGAAAAACCACCAAGCAGTATAGGTTTGTCTGAAAATGGGGTACCCCCAATAAAAAAGATCATTGTCATAAGCAAAAACACATGATGAACCAGTAGGTACACAGGGCTACCTCCCCCATTTTCCAGGCACATCCAGTTTAAGATCCCCTTTCTTTGCGGATGATGTTATACCATATCATGTTTGTTACCTGCACCACAGGAGACGTTGGAGGAGAGGGATGGTCGGGATGGTGGCTGCAAGTCCAATAACTACAGGATGGGGCCCCAGTTCGATAGTTAAGTTGGTGTATAACTATAAAAACCATAGTGACATAGTGTATGATGCGCAAATAACTATATTTGGATGGGGCCCCATAAAGCAACAAACATAACTGGAGGGCCCCATCCTGTATGGAAGTCTATGGATTATGGCAATTACAACTATAGTGAATGGATGTTAATGGATGTTTTCATGGATGTTTTCATGGATGTTTTCCTGGGGCTTCTGAAATTATAAACCAAGCAACTTTTACACCAGGGGGTTTCAAATCATGGGATCATTTTTGAGCCGTTGATGGCTTAAAATCACCATGGTTTGTTGATGTTGGAGGATGTGTCACCATGTTTGTTATTAGTTACATGATGTTACCATGTTTTTGTTTAATGTTTCTTTTTCTATTAAACCATTCGTTTTCGCAAATTAAAAACCACCATGAATTTTCCTGGTGCCATCATGTTCTTGGTTAATCCATCATTTTTTAATGGTTAAACAACCATTTTCCATGGTCTTCTCAGCATTTTTCATGGTTAAACCACATTTTTTCATGGTTAAACAGCGACTTTTCCTGGTTCCAAGGGGCCCGCTATTTGGTTGTCGCAGGACTCGGCGCCTGATCCGCCACCTGCGACTTTGAATGCGGTGACCTTTAGGACCTGTGGACATGTTATATCTACACTACATCAATTCGCAAAAAAAAAAGACATTATCTATGTACGTCTAGATAGATAGATGGATGGATTGATTGATTGATTGATTGATTGATCAGAACGAAATAGATGGAGAAATGAAGAAACAAAAACAAAGCAAACTGATAGATAGATAGTTTTGATAAGAATGAATGAAATAAAGAACGAAATAAAGGAAAGAAAGAAAGAACGAAAGAACGAACGAACAAAGGAAAGAAAGAAATAAATAAATACAAGAAATACAAGAAATACAAGAAAGACAAGGACAGAAATAATGCAAGAAATAATGCACGAAAGCAGGAAAGCAGGAAAGAAAGATAGATAATCAAAAACAATGAATTATTGAAAGCATGACCTCACCTTGAATGACCTGACCATAAATAAAATGATATAAATCTATAAATCACAACAAATTATGATGATGACCTCACCATTAAATAGGAAATCAATGGCCTGTCATTCCAGGACGATTTTTACCAAGATGGACTTCGTCGAGCGGATCAGAGAGGTGTTGGGGTCCTGGCCCATCATCTTCCAGACTGGGGCTATGGTAGTGTCCATATTCCATATATCTGGGTAAATTTCATCACGACCTCACTGTTCTCACCGAAGCCTGGAATAATATGGTTTTTATAGGGAAATCATCCCCAAATGGCCGCAAGATTCAGCCCAGATATATGGGGATTTCCATACATGTGGGATCCCCAAGCTCGCTGCATGGTGACTATTTCATGGAAAATCCATCTATAAATGGATGAGAACTGGGGGTACCCCCATGACTTAGGAAACCTCCATATATGAAGATATCATGCGGATATCACAAGTATATGGGATATATCACCAACAAGATGCTATTTGGGAATGGAGCAGGGATATATTATACCACATAATAACATAATATATATATAATAACATATATATATAATAACATTTAATAACATATAGATATGTCATAATAACCTATATAATAACATATGTATACATACATATATACCCTCTGGTAAACTAACATAGCTATTGAAAATGGCCATTTATAGTGGATTTTCCCATTAAAAATGGTGATTTTCCATAGCTATGTTAGTTTACCAGAGGGTAATAACCCACCAGAAACACCCCTCAATTAACATGGACAAAACAACAAACGTCGATCCGCCGAGGAGATATCGAGGCAAGTGTCCCAGGATCTTAACTGCCGAGGCGGAAACGTGGGTTTTAGAGCCGTGACCCGGCCTGGTAAACATACAAAAAGCTATGGAAAATGGCCATTTATGGTGGATTTTCCCATGAAACATGGTGATTTTCCCATCAGTTTTTTGTATGTTTACTAGAGGGTACGAAGCTTTGATTCTTGTGGTTGGTGGTGATTCATAGACAGATATACCCTATGGATCCAGCCGTAGCTTCTTAGAAAGTGTTTGGGGTATGATTTGGGGGGTGAAGTACCTTCTCAGACAGTGTTTGGATCCATAGGGATATATATATATAATATGTGATGGAACACATGGTGGGATTGGTGAAGCAAGAATCGGAAAATCATCGGGAAGTATGTATCCATGATTAGTAAATGGATACCCTCTGGTAATTCAACATAGCTATTGAAAATTGCCAAAGACAGTTCGTTGATTTACCCAGCTATAAAATGGTGATGTTCCATAGTTATGTTAGTTTACCAGAGGGTGTATAAATATATATATATATATATAAATGTATAATATACATCATAAGATTAATAATACATGTACATGTATACCAATATACATTGCTTCATATAATCACATATGTGTATGTAAATGTATATATAATAGATACTTGCTTCTTATGCATATATACAGATGCACATGTATCCTTTTGATGTACGTGCCCTGAATGGGACTCATCCAGCTGCAAGATTCTGGGGCCCGCAACCTGCGTGTTGTGAAAACCCTCCGAGGTTTTTCTTGTGACTTGATTTTAACATATTTTACCCTCTGGTAAACATACAAAAAAAGCTATTGAAAATGGCCCAGTCGAAATAGTTGATTTACCAATCAAAAATTGTGATTTTCCATCGTTTTTTGTATGTTTACTGAGGGTACATGTGGATTACGCGGGTGCACGAAGGATCGGTTTTTTGAAAAAACACGGGGTGGCTCATGGTGGTTTTGTTCGTGTCCCACATATGATTGTAATCTTACTGGTGCTAAACGTAGGGAATGGATGGGTTGCTGGGGGTTACTGAGATTATTACTAGTGATTATGGATCATTCCCGAAAATTCCCTACGTTTAGCACCAGTAAGTAATTGTAAATCCTCCAATGTGGCATTTTGCACGGCAGGTTCTTCAGAACTGCTGAAACAAAATCGCTGTGTGGCATTTTTTGAATGACATGACGAAGTACAGATTTCACAAGAAGTGAATATCTATTTACATTGATCTGAAATGGTATAGCCACATTTTATCTACGGAAAAAATGCTACTGTTTTCCCCTATGCTTCTGATTTTAGACACACTGGGCAGTTTTGATCCGCTCAAAAGCAATGCGAAGATTCTTCCAGGTACCCAACTTTGTTGCGGTGGAATGAGTGTTAAAGTGTTGAAGCAACCATGTTTTTGACATGTTCACTATACTTAGTGGGCAACAGTGGGCAACCCAATTTTATAAACCAATGTCATTTAGGGATGGTTCTTTTCGCACCCAAAAAAATATGGTAGTTGCATGACAGAAATGGTTCGTCTCGTTTTTTGTTGGTGCAATCGGTGAAAGCAGCCGATTTTGGGAGGAGACGCTGCTCATCAACTCCTTCTACTTGCGTTTCTCGCAGAAGGTGTCGCCCAGCGGGGTGCTTTAACACCGTCTCGGCGAAGTTGATAAAGAGACAATCATTGTATGAGTGTATAATAGATGACTAAGGGATTACTAAGGGCAACAATAGAGAATGACCGGGTGTAGACGGGGTGCAGTATAATCATAGACTATAGAGAATAATTCATGTTTACTTGGCCATAGAAGATATGATTCATGATGAAGACAGCTTTAGAAATCTGTTTGAAATCTGTTTTATAACATGATTCTTGGACCTTAAAAATTACCATCATTGGTTGATCATAATTTTTCTCCATATGTCGTCTCCGTTACGTAAAACTTTTTTGGGTCATCCGATACCATAGAAACGCCCAACTGGTGCTGGGATATCCCCCTCAGGTCATCCATATATTGGGGTAGGTCAACCACCAACCAGCCAATGAACCATATAATAACCATATATAATAACCATATAATAATCATATATATATATATATTGCGAATGGGATAATGACCACAGCACTACTAATATATCCCATGTATATAGAAGTACTTTAAACTCGAATCTCCAGCCAAGCGGGTCTAATGAACGATGCCCGTTTTGGCTCAAGACTGCCCGAAACCAGCTAGTAAAAGGTGCTCATGCCGAAGCTGAACTGGACCTCTGCCGTATTCAACTGATCATTTACAATCGAACAACCAGATATACATATCGAGTGACAATCCTCGATTCACAGGTTATCAGCCGTAGGTCTCCTACGGAGCCTACGAGCGGGTAGCCGCGGACCTTACAGATGGCTGAAGAGGACAGCAGTGATAACGCATTCTCCTTTGCTGGACATGCCGCCGCACCAGCTGCCGGCACGCAGTCAAATTCTTCACAGAGTATCGATACTGGTGGAAGCGAAACCTCAGAACTGAGACCGAGCTTACCCGGACGATCTCTGGTTGCTCCGAGGGGGAGACAAGTACCGACAATGCAAGCAATTGAAGATAGGGACAGTACACCTGGAAAAAGAAGATCATCTGCCCGACAATTGTCGCCTCCGACGACTCCAAGGACTAAGGCGAAGCCTACGTCATCGAATCCGCCTTCACCGATTCAGGACGCTACACCATCAGGGGTGGGATCTTATCAACAAGTGAATGCCCCATCAAGTGGTAGCGATATCTTCACTGCCTATCAGAGCGAACTAGCAGAATACAAAACATCACTAGACAGGGCTACTGAAGAGGAATCCGTACTTCAGGCACGATTGACTGAGACGGCCGCCTATGCCTATCAACAATTTAATTTTCTGGAGAACACCACTCATCAAGAAATGACATCGATGACTCAACGACTACAGATTCTGAACTCTGAACTACAAGCTGCACAACAAGAAGACGAAGGTGCAACATACAGAATCGAAGAGTTGGAGAGGTATCGAACAATGTCGAATGAAGCAGCATCTCATCTGGAATTTCGATATTCACAACTGAGATCTGAATTCAATGAACAGATTGGACAAGCGAATGCAATCATGGTACATGTGGGCACAGATGCGAAGGCTCACATCAATCAACTCAGACTGGAACTGGAGAACGCAGAGATGAACGCAAAGCAAGAAGCTCTAGCAGTCGGCTATGCTAACGACCAAACCTGTGCACTACGCATCGAGATGCTCGAGGTTGCCAATCAGAACCAGACGATGAAGCACACTATGTCGATGAATGTTAGACGACTGGAAACTGAGCTCGACGCTGCTGACATGAAGAGGGATGAGATCATGAGAGAGTTCCGTAGTAACATAAGATCTGAACATGACCGTTATGCCGAATGTGAACATCATTTAGCTTTGGAGGAATCACAACTTCGATTGCAATTGGTTCACAATGAAGGTCTACACTCACGATTAATGACATCAGAGAGCAAGCTTTCCGAAGAATCATCATCTGAGTCAAGTGGCATGCGGGACTTCAGGATCATGGGACTACGTTCGGAACTACATATGAAACAAAGCCTTTTGGACCGAATGCAACATCAACTGACTGAATCGAAGAATCAGTATCATGAACTTTCCTGCCAACAAGCAAGGAGATCATCACCAAGTAGATCACCACATGGCGAACTACAATATGAAATGTACATGCAAGCTGTACGTGAACGTGATAGTCTCAAAGTGTCCAAGGCAGAAGTTGACAATTTGTACTCTCGAGCCAGAGATGAAATTCTTGACAATGATAATCTACTCAAGACATATCAGAAACATTTCGATTCAATTGGTAAGAAGTATCAAGACGCTCTGGACAAAATCGATTATATGAGCAACAATCCGAATGTGACAAGTAACTTGTTCGACAGTTTGCACAATGAGATTGATGACAGAGACACAATGGTCGCCCATCTACACACTGAAGTTGAAGCTCAGAAGGAATCACTTGATCGCGCTCATAGAGACGCAGGTCATGCTATAAGCAAGTTGAACGACAGGCGACTAGTGATCAAGGGGGCAACTGACTATTCTATTCCTGAAAGTCACCTGACCGAGATGCACCATCTTGCCAATGAGCGCTTCGCTGAGGTAGAAGAGATGTCAAGCACTATCTCTGCACTGAGACTCGAAAACCAAGCCGCTTCATCTTCATCTTCATTGCAGAACATGCCGGCTGTATTATTTGGAACCTCCAATAATGCTTTGCCTCGAAGTGAATGTGAAGAGAAGTGTGCCAGACTAAAAGCCGAATTGGACGAGATGAAACGAGAGAAGAATGAAGAAGTCCGAAGTCTTCGAGATGAATTGAAGAAGATGGAAGAATGGAAGAACGAAAGGACTACTATAAGAATAACTTCTCTCAAGCTGAAGATCGTGCCAACGATGAAGAACAAGAATATCGAGCAGAAGCCGAAGCCTTCGAAAAGCTCAGGAATGAGTACAACACCAACGTCGTGGAGCTGGAGAACCTTGAGAAGGACAAGGCGAGGTCATCTGTATCCCAAAGGGAGGCGGAAAAGATCACACTCCAACCATGGCCAAAGACTACTGAACTTTCATCCTGGAAGGGAAGTGTCATTCATGAAGTTTGTGTTGCTAGCGGGGACCGCAACTACGGTGATTGGAAAGCATGGTTGGCTCCTTGTCTTGCAGATCAACCAGACATGGATGCACTAGCCTTGGCTCCCGACATAAGATTTCAATCTATCGATGCCAAACTTTCCAATGCTTTGAGAAAGGTCACTGAAAATGCTGGGGACAAATCCATGGAAGTGAAGTATGAAATGTCCATGAAGAATCAGATGTATGGGAAAAGTGGAGACTTCATCAAAGGACGAGAACTGTTTGCAATGATTCTGGTAAGTTTCAAGTCGCCAGACCATACTGAAGTTCTTTACAACTCCCATCACCTGTACGTATTCAACTATTATGGAGATGACCAGCTTGAAGCTTTCTACAACAAATGGCTTGACATAGTGTACAACATGAAACAAGATGATCGTCCATCTCTCAACTCACTGCGTGACACCTTATTCCGGAAGATGAGCATTCAAAGCTTATGCACTTTGATATCAGCCGATATCGAACCTTCGATGAAGGGCATCCTGAAAAGACCTATGATTTCCTGATCACCATGATCAAAGGCTACATAGCACGAGGAAAACAAGAACGACTGTTGAAGGAAAGAGAGCGTGCAGTTAAGATCTCATCATTGACCTCTACCAAGACAACACCGGCCGTGGAAGACGCAGAGAAGCCTGCCGCTCCCATCAAGACCAAGAAGGAGAACGAAGCAGCAGCATCATCTACGAGTGATCCTCCTAAGCGACCTAAAGCAAAGGCGAAGAGTGAAGCTGCCTCAGTCCTCCCGACACCTTCTCCGAAATCACATGCCGACAAGAACAACAAGAAAGGCAAAGGTGGGAAGGGTAGGTCGTCTTCACCCGTCGATAAGAAGAAGATTTTCTGCAACTACTTCTTCAACAAAGGTGGGTGTAGTAAGGGCGACAAGTGTCTATACAGTCATTCTCAGAAGGTCTATGATGCCAAGATGAAAGATAAGAAAGGTAGAAGTAGAAGTCGAGATTCATCAAGAGGGAAAGGTAAAGGAAGTTCATCTTCAGCTGGACCCAAGAAGAGAACCTGTTGGCAATGGCAAAAGGGTACCTGCACATTTGGAAGCAAATGCAAGTTCCTACATGCAGATCAATCGCCTTCAGCATCCTCAGAAAGAACCAGCAAGAAGACACCAAAGAAAAAGGCAACTCCTATTACCATCGATTCCTTCTTTGATAGCGACAATGAAGATGCAATGGATTATTTCTCGCCGAGGATAGCCAGTGCAAAGAAGTCTTCTGATGTTGGCAGAATCTCATTTGATCTGGAACCTGAAATACACAAGATCGTCATTGAGAACTATCAGGAGGGATTACCTAAACGTATCTACCGTGACCCCAACAAGCCCTATGTCTTCAGAAAGATCGATGATCTGGTTGATGATCAATCCAAGTCTGACAACATTCTTGGTTCAGTCCGAGCAAGAGCTAGAGCTATTATTATGGCTAGATGTGGATTCCATCGTGATGTGAATGAGGTGAGAATCATCATCGGCCCGAAGTTCGACATTTTAGTCAAACTGGACAATGATCACGAAGACCTGATTTTTACTGAGGAGCTTGTTGCACACGAAGTCGAGAGATCCCTCAAGAAGTCCAAGAACCTAATGTGCATTTCACTACCAGTACAAGCCAAAGATCGCATTTTCATCCTCGATTCCGGAAGCGGACACGACCTGATCTCCGCAAGGAAAGCTGAAAGGATGAACTTGAAACAACGAACTTGTGATCCCATCATGTTCCATACAGCCAATGGTTCAACTGCTACTCAAACGGAAGCGGAGATTGACCTGGGAACCTTCGACATGACATCTCAAGCCTATGTATTAGATGACACTCCTTCCGTGATGTCTCTTGGGCAACGATGCATGGAAGAGGGATACTCCTTTGTATGGCCTTCTGGTAAGATGCCGTTCATGGTCACAAAGAAT